GTGAACAGTTCAAGGAACCACAGATTTGATGTTAGTTTGGTCCTGCTACCCACTTTACCATTACTGTCTCAGAAGTTCCTACCCCTAATTAGCCGTTCTGCCGGCTGAGCCCAGTAGATTTGTGTGAAATGTACGTCACTGAACACCTGTTGAAATTACGGTGTTCTATTTATGGACAAGTATCACAGGTGGGCCGCCAGATAATTATAATTGTAAAACCAATAACAGCCTGCACGGCCCTGCAGAGATATTTATGAAGAATTCACTGTTTTTCTGCACAGGCGGCATTACAGGGAGTTTTTTATTACTTGGAAAAGAACAAAAGTTTACAGGTGGTTGAGGCAGTTACATATGGATATGTATTTTGGGCATCCTTGCCCAAATTAAGATTGAGATCAAAAGTAACAACTATGCAGACTGACTATAAATTTGATTTGTAATCAGAATATGATAGAGACTTTTGAGACATTCAAGGCTTTGGTGTGTTTGCCTCTGCTAAGTTGCTCTAGATTGGCTTAGAACTGACAGAGGCTAAGGTCCAGTACAGTAATGGAATGCAGCAATATATATGCAGCAATACATATACATACATGTATATAATGTAACTTTCTGGGATTCCAGTACTGGCATATAATACCCGGTAGTTCCCAATTCTTTATCCGTATACTAACAAGTGTCTATGTTTGTATCTGTAAACATTTTTGGTAGAGCCATACCTAGACAACAGTGGAATATAGACATCAGAGTTACCACCCACCAATATGTGGTGTATATTGATTTTAGAGCAGGGGCATGCATAGATTACGACATTGATAAGGAAAACTGATCGTTTTGAAATTAGCCCCACTTAAATGTCTGAAGTTGTGAAACGTTTTTTTCTGTGTCTCTTTAAAACTAGTTTTTTTTTCATTTACAAAACGTGCACATGTAGGGCTTGAATGAATGAATGAATGAATGAATGAATGAATGAATGAATGAATGAATGGTTTTATTCAAATTGAAAATCACTGGCAGCCACATGGCTGAATTGCTGATTCTATTACAGACGTACAATTCATGATAAAAGAAAAAGACCAGTATTAATACGTTAACATTATAAAATTTCATTCAAGCCTTATTTTTCACAGTCAGTGCCGGTCTTGATTTCAAATCTCCACAATTTAAAAACATTTAAGAGATGCGTCGTCGACTTAGCTAGGTAAAAACGTAATTTAAGGCACTACGTAGAAATAAAATTAGCGTTATGTTTGGAAAATATATGGGTCGACTCAAACAGTCCTTCAAACAAAGTCGTAACTTCTGAGATTGGAACTAGATCATACAATTTCTAAAATGGTACACAAATTTACATAATAATCCACAAAGTTCATCATCAGTTTTGCATGTTTAGGAGTCTGACGAAGTAAGGGATAGGTGAGTCTTTGTAACGGTCAGTTCTACATCTGATTGTCCTTATCAAGTTCGAGTTTCTAG